ATTCAGGAAATTCTGGATCTTTTAAAGCAAGTATGTTAACAATACTCCTGAGAATCTTACAATATGATGATTTAAACATAAGGAAAAGGAGACCCTGACATGATCAGAGAGATCACCAAAGAGGCCTCCCTGCTGAAGAGTTCAGTTTTTGCATTTTGTTTTCTATTTTTTAAAGACCACAAAGAGGATGCTGAATGTACTGCTCAAGGAAAGTCCTATCATTTTGGGTAGAAATTTATGGGGCAATTGGGAAAATCGTATTTCCCAAGGTAGCAAAAACAAACACAAGAACATTAGGATTCCTTAGACTCATATCCTCTAGATCCATTCACTGACCTACCAAATGCATTATATTCTAGATAGATTATAATAAGTGTATTTATTACATATAAACAAATATAATGCATACCTGGGTGTGAGTATGGCCAAGTCTGGGTTATTTATGGTCATGGGTACAGAGTAGAACGTAAGTTACTAATGCATAAACTAAATGCAGAGAGCATTAGAAGTTTTTTTAAATCAATACTTTCAAATTAATCTACTTCCAAACCTTTAACCACAGATATGAACATAATATCAGCTGATTTTAATGTTATTGACTTTTCCTTCCCAGCCCACTATCTTGCAGAGTTAGGTGAAATATCTTAGTTCATATATTATATTGTATATGTATATACTATTTTATATATCAATCAATAGTGATTATATACAAAAATGGAGAAATATAAACCATTGATTCTTGAGATTTGTTATTCATTCATGTAGCTATTCATGCAACAAAATTTATTAGGCATTTAATATACGAAAGCACAGTGCTTGGAGTCATAGGGATGTAAAAATACAGACCCTGTCCCTGAGGCATTCACATTTTATTATAGGGACAGAACATGCACGTAAATAGCTGTAGCACAAGGTAAAAAACCTAAAATACTAGAAGAGAAACAAAGAAACTGTTTTGGTAAATCAGGGGAGGTGGAGATATCTAGCAGGAAGATTTGGGGAACATTCACAGAGAATATTTGAGTGGAATCCTGCAAGATGGGCAGGGTCCACACATGAAGAGAAGGTAGCAACAGCACTTTCTGATTAGGCCACAGAGTGAGTGTGGGGTTGGCTAGGAGAGGTCAAGGCAAGGATGAGGAAGAGTTAGGCTGAAGCACTAAGTGTTGGAAGAGGAATTCAGGATATGAAGCTGGAAGGAAGAGTTGGGGCCAATTGCAGTCTTTATTGTCAGAATAAGGAATTTAGGCTTTTTATAAGAAGGTAATCGGGAGCCATTGAGGCCTTTAAAAAATATATATATATATTTTATCTTGAAATAAATTCGACTTACAGAAGAGTCTCAAAGAAAATACAGCGAGTCCCCAGGAAGTGGTTAATATTATCTAGGTTTTCATGTTTCAAAAATATAATCATTTATGTAATATTCTTATATTACACTCCTATAATTGCATCTCTTTGCTCATGCTTAACGTAGTCTATGTCTTGGTTTTTTTCTTACTCAGAAATGCCAAAGATTTGTCTTTCTTGTTTATATTTTCAAAAAAATAGTTTTTGGTTTTGTTGAGCAAGTTTTTAATTTTTAGCTCTATTTCATCAACTCCCCCAAAGCTACCCTACATATACATTCAATCTACATTTGAAAAAAATAAAAAAGACAAAACAGTGAGATCAATGTATGAATGCTGTGTCAAAAAAAAAGTCCCTTGATTCATCATTTAAGCAGAATGCTGTCTCTAAGTCCCACACGTCCACGTAGCTGTGTGATTATTTTGTCATGATCCTGCGTGGGATATGGCAGGCAATTTCAATATAATATTTTGTGCTTTTCTTTAACTCAAAGAAGATTGCTTCTGTTATTTATCTCCTTCCTTCTATTTCCTTTGTCTCTTTCTAGAACTCTTATTAGATTAATGTTTACCTACCAGGATTTATCCCCATGTCTCCTATATTATCTTTTTTCCATTTCTTTGTCTTTTGCTCTAAATTCTAGAAAATTTACTTAACTATTTATTTTTTTAACTTTGTTATTCTTTACTAATTTGGCTGTGACCCATGTCCACTCATCTGTTTACTCCTCTTTTATTTATTTATTTATTTTTATTGTTTTAATTTGTCCTGTTCCCTGCTTGCTTCTTTTTTTCCATAGCTATTTTAGGGATAAATATTCTCCCATCATTTTTTAGGATACTCACTGTAATACTCTCTTATGTCTCCTGCTATTTGGATTATTTCTGTTCTTTTGTTTGCTTGCCTTGACCTTTTCTCTTTTTGCTTTTTGGCTTTCTTCAAAAGCTTGGTGATGCTTTTTGTTTGTTTGCTTGTTTGTTTTATTGTTTTTCTTATTTTGTGCTTTAGATTCCACATATAAGTGAGATCATATGGTATTTGTCTTTCTCTGTCTGACTTATTTTACTTAGCATAATACC